GCCTATATATAATCCTCTCAGTACTGTTTTCGCCGAAGGGATTTTATTTAGGTTTTTGTTGTCGCTCTATTAGAAACTATGGTATGTTTCGTTGGGGCGAATCCGAGAGACTCATAAAATCCTATCTTTAGAAAAAAAGAAAAGTAAAAAAAGTAAAAACTCTTGAATCTAATAGTTAGTGCTGTAAGATTCGGTCTCTCAAGGCGATACTAGCGCCTTAGAATAAATAAACGCGTAGGTAAATTCTAAGTATCGTGAAAATATGAAAGTAAATAAACGAAATTAGAGATTTATAAAGTGAGGTATGCCTCGTGAAAACAGCAATACTCTGAGGGATTGTGAGGCTGAGACATTGCCTATATATAATCCTCTCAGTACTGTTTCCGCCGAAGGGATTTTATTTAGTGTTTCGTTGTCGCTCTATTAGAAACTATGGTATGTTTCATTGGGGCGAATCCGAGAGACTCATAAAATCCTATCTTTAGAAAACGAAAAAAATAAAAATACTCTTGATGTCCTTAGATATTGTCTTAACCAATAACATGCCACATATCAAGAATTACCGACTTAGCCTTCATCAGACTGGCACATCTGGTTGACTGATCGGAGGATCAACTAGGTAACGTTAATAGTCCCTAGAAACCTATATTCGGTTGAGCTATCTGGCTACCGAATTATTCAGATATAAATAGATTTGGAAGGTAAATATAGTTCTATTAATAGAACTAGACCAAATCTTAAGTTTGAAATTTTACTGGGGCCTTTTAATGACCTGGTCCAAATATCTAATATGTAAAATGGAAAAGGTATTAATTAGTAAAACCGTTCAAACCCATTTAAGAAACTTAAGTTCCTTGTACGATTAAGAGTACGTTTATAGTTCTCGTAAAAAAAAAGGCACGACCCCACTTACCTCCTGGTCCATACCTAACATGATGGCCTCTTCTTCTGCACAGGTTGGTAGGATGGCGAATTGCTTACTCTATCCCAGTTATGTGTCCGGCTCCGATTCCCGCGTCTGAGTGTTTTGTGGTCCGTATGTATGATCGAGACACACACGGACCTCATCACCATGGAGCAGAAGTTACCCGATGGCAGGTACCCCAGCCACATACGGATCATCGTCCTCATTCTTCACACGTGCATGTGACGTCATTGTCTACGAAGCACATGAAATCCACTACTGTCCAAAAGTTGTTTTCGTTTTTGTGTATGTACTGCGCAGGCACGACAGCCAGGCCAAACCCCAAACCCACACGCTCGTATACCTGGACATCGCTTGCGATGAAACGTATTTTATACTTATCACACTCATAAATGGTACAATAATTGAAACAATTTGCGTTGTCTGTTATTGTTGTGCGTCACGCATTCTCGTGGTGTAATAGAAGTTTCTCCTCACTCAGCATGTTTATCCTATCCGGGTGTATGGGATGCACCACTGTCTTTTTTAGCCCCACATAGGCCACTGGCACATAATTGTAGTGTACACAATATCCAAGTTCTTGTAGTTGTATGCTTAGATCACGGTTGTGTGTAGCTACCGTATACACCAAATCTAGCCATACCTTGGAATACTATCTTGTACCAGCTCGCATAGTACCATCATCCGGCGTTGTATTCATATCCACTTATGTCCTGGCTGTTGAAGTACTACGTCCAAATTTTGGTTCAAACCAAATCATCGCGCTTGTTGGTCCCGCCTATGAAACTTCCAATCGAGGCCAGCCAGCACATACCGGATGCATCCGTGGTCTGGTGAGGCATTGGCTCACCCCCATCCTCGCTCCTCGACCGAATTATGATGAATAACCTGGTCCTACTCGGTATATCGTACTCTACACCAACCCATTCCACGGCACTACACGGCGCAGAC